TTCCACCTCAGCTTTCGCTACCAGCTGCTATTCACACGACGCCTGCCTGGGACTGACGTGACCTCTCGCGAGAACCTACCCGTTATTCGCGCCTAACGCGAGACCTCGGGGCTGGCCCCGGGACACGCTTCCTGGATGCCATCTTGAGAGTGGCGGTGTGACCCTAATGTGTCTCGCGTGATCGCCATCTTGAGGAGGTCAAAAGTGGCCGTGTATTTGGCCCTCGGAGCTAGAGTTTCTCAGCTAAGATTTCGTGCTTGAATTTAGTCCAGATAAGTCATAGGCTGGGCCAAGCCGTCAAGAAGGGAGGAATGAGCTAGTAACAAATGAACAAATAAATCAGACTCAGTCTCACAGCCCTCTGAAACACGCACAGGTGAGAGGCAGCCTCATCTTTCAGAGGAGATAAGCTCAGAAAAACTAATTGAGAAGTGGCAGACCCAAGACTCCTCCCCAAGTTCGGGTAACATCAGGGCTTTTGTTTTCCTATACCGCCTCCTTATGGTGGTTTAAATGTTAGTAATTATTTGTCAAAGACATGGCTGGAGAGAAAGCCAGAAGGGAAAGAAATCGAAAGCCTTTAGAGCACGTTGCCAAAACTTCTCATATAAACATTGGAGCAAAATTCAAGTTCAGAAATTTAATATACCCCAGGGCAATATACCCAGGGCACGTGGGCTAAGATGACAGCAGAGCCTCCAGACTCAAGGATGTGAACACAACACAGAATCATCTCCCCATCAACACACTTTCCCCGGTCCAACCGTACCAAACTAAACCCAACACAGAGTAGCTGGAGCTGGGCGCACTGGAGATAAGCTTCCCCTTCTGCACATTTGGGCCTTTGAACAGTAGCCCTTTCAAACAGGTTCCACATTGAAAGGTTATTATGCAGCAGAAATGCACCATTCCAGAAAAGAGTATGAAGAGTCATTTTTCTTTGCACACACGTTCTTTCTAGTCTACCAGTTGTCCCTGACGCTCTGCCTTGGCAGCATGTAAGGAGAGAGAGATGCAAAACAGCCTCAACTGAAAGCCACCCCCAGGGTACCTCCCATGTGGCGGGATAGAAACCACCGTGATATCCATACACGAATGCATCTCAAACACATCATGTTGAGTGAGAGAAGCCAGACACTTGGATATATGCAGTCAGGTTGCATTCATACGAAATGCTGCAGGAAGATAATCTGTGCAGACAGGAAGCACATCAGTGGGTGTCTAGGGGTGGCAGTGGGCATTGGGAAGGGGAATGAGGAAATGCTTTGGGGTGACGGAGGCATGGTGGTGTAGTTGTCTGAATGGCATTGAAATCTATACTTAAAATGGGTACCTTCGCCTGCATGTAAATTATACCTTAATAAAGATTTGGAAAAAAACACAGATGTTCGGAAGCCACTAGAGGCCAGTTATCAAACTCCCTGGGTTGGGGCCTGGCCATCAGAATGACCTGAAAGTTCTCGAGGTGCAGTCAGGGCTGAGAGCCACAAGATTCTCCACATCAAGAAGTGGGGCAACATTAGAGGCCCCCATGTGATGCCCCTACCTGGAAGAGGAGTGGCTGAACAGTCATGCAGCACTTAATGACAGGGTTTTGTTCTGAAAAATATGTCTGTGGGCAATTTCATCACTGCACGAATGTCAAAGAGTATAATGGCACAGACCTAGGTGGTTCAGCCTACCACACCTGGGCTGGGTGGTATAATCTAGTGGGACCGCCATGGTATTTTCAGACTGTGGTTCCCTAAACCCTCATTAAGCAACACATAACAGAGGAAGAATCTTGGGGAACAGAGCAAGGTCCCCACCCACTCCCTTGCCCCCGGCCCCTGTAGCTCAGACTCTCTCTGCCCCTGGCTCCTCAGACCCCAGGTCCTCTGGCTAGAAAAGGAAGCCCCAGGGTTTAGAACTGGGGCTACAGACCTATTCTTTCCCTCGCTCTACCTAGACTCCTGGAGAATTAATTACCAGGGAGCCTGCACTGTCTCACTGGAGGCAAGTGCTGAGCACAAGCCCCCTGTAGTAATTTTAAAAGTTTGGCCAGAAAGTGAGGAACAGGATTCTGGGGATACCCTTTGCAGGGTGGACAGGGGCTCTGGGCAGCAACCCACAGTCAGGACCTCAGAGCATACAGCAGGTGCTGAGGCCAGAAGACAGCAGTCCCCACAATGGGGGGACTCCTCGACCCCAATTACAGTCAGCCACAGTGGGAAGCAAACCACTGTCTCAGCAGGTCACACTTGTGGGGACAGAGTGACCTGGTGTCTCTAGCCCAGGGCCTGATCCTAAGTCTCCATCTGCAATTTGGACTTGTAGCCTAAGACTAGCCCTTCACTTCTGGGCCTCAGTTTCTCATCTGTTAAATGATGCTCAGAAGGATCCTTCTGGGCTGACAGTTACCCATAATAATGTTTTAGCTGGACAATTCAGGCCAACGTGTGGTAGAAGGGATACTCTACTGCCACCTGCTGGACAAATACACTCAGGATGTGAAAACTATACCTGCAGAGTCAGGATCCCAGTCCCACCTTCCCATCCATGTTGGGTGGTCCTGTCTGCCTCAAAGGAGCAGTGTGAAGAGTACATAAAGGTAATATACCTGGCCCTCCCTGGTGGCGCAGTGGGTTAAAGCACAGCACTAGGAAGCTAAAGCCACTTCAGCATGAGTTCAATCCCCGCCCAGGAGGTGACCCACATGGCGCAGCAGACCTGTCCTGGCCCACCCGCTGCCCCCCTCAGCAGTGTACTTCGTCAGTTGGCCTGTTCTGCTCCCCACTCTGTCTCTAGTGAATCCTCTCACCACTCCTGCACCTCTGGCCTGTACCCCAGTTCTGTATGCATAAATAAATACATCTTAAAAAAAAAAGTAATATACCTAAAGCACCTGGCGCGCTGTTTGCCGCGATGGTCACTAGCAGCTGCACCCTTTGTTGTTACTATTCTATCTATTCTATTCTAGGTGTCTGAGGCTGGGGGCTGGGTCAGCACTGGACAGTCAGACCCCAGCTTCCCCCTACTGAGAGAGTGTGCCCTAAACTTCCTACTAGGTCATCTGGGGCATAGAGAATGCCATCATTTTTGTTTCCCTAGGTTTTGGAGTAAAGAAGAGAATCAACTCTTGGAGAAAGAGCCTTGACCCTTCCTCCAACATGCCTCCCACTCACAGTCTCAACCCCTCACTCAGCCTGCCCCAACCTGCAGGCGTCCCCTCCCCACGCCTCACCAGCATCTTCATGATGGCAAGGAGGAAGTAGAAAGGCAAAGGCGTCTTCTGGCACCAGGGTAGTCCTAGCGCCCCCCAGGGGCCACACCAGTAAGAGGATGGTCCACTCCCAGGTGTTCTCTGAGCCCAGCCTGGAGTCCTGGGAGACAGAGGTACAGAGAGAGGGAGCAAGTTGGAAGACGAGAGTGGGTGAGGGGAACTGTCTCCTGTCCAGCTCCACTCAACCTACAGTGTACTTGCAGAGGCAGGAAAGATGGCCACCCAGGGGAAGGGAAGGCCTAGGTCAGCGGTGCCCTATCACTAACCCCTCCTCTAGCCCCCATCCCCCAGGTTTATGAGGGCGGCCCAGAGACCGCAGAGTAGGGTGCATGAGAACCTCTGTCCAGGTGCTTCCTCCTGGACAGTACCTGTGTGCGGCCTGATCTGTGCCTGCTTGGGGGTCTTCTACCTCAAGCGTCTTGGAGTCCTGGTCCCTGCCTGTACCTGCCTTTCTCTGATTTGGGGCTCTATGCCGCTTTTGTGTTCTGAGTCCGTCTCTGACTGACCTGGTGTCTCTTATTTCTCCTCCTCTTCTGTTGGTCCCTCCTTTCTCCTCCGTGCTTCCATGAGTGCCTGTCTCACGCTCTTGCGATGTGTCCCAACTGACCAACCTCTGCTCCCTCTCTCCCCTTTGGAAGCTGGACTCTGGGCAGAGGATCCTCCTTCTGGCCCCAGACCCACTGGCCAATCTCCACTGCGTCTCCACTCTCCAGCCACCTTTGGACCTTTGACCTCAGACCCAGTGCTGTCAGAGAAACTGAGGCAACTGTAGCCTCTGGCTAGAAGGCAGCAAGATGAGGGGGAAGAGGGGAAACAGGGACAGCCCAGTTGTAAGGTTCCTAAGATGGGATGGGTGGGGAGGTTGAGATGAGGAGAAGCCTAGAAAGAAGGGTGATTTGAGGGATCTAGAGAGACACCTTAGGTAGGGACCCTGAAGAAGGGCGTTCTGGAAGGGAGAGTCGTTAAGGCGTGTGGGGTTCCAGAGGAAGCAAGCTCCGGGGGAGGCAGGTGCTGAGAGCAGGCTCTGGAGAGAAGTCTTTGGTAAAGAAAGGTGTGAAGGGACGCTGAAAGGAACATTTTCGTGACAGGGGATGGTAGGGGGGTGGTTCTGGAAGGGGATGAGGAAGGGGCGTGCAACTCCCGGGTTAGCTGGTAAGCAGAGAGGAAGATGCTGGGGCCCCTCCCAGAGAGGAAGCCAGAGGGTAGGAGGAGACCAGGGGCAAGACGACTCTGGGGAGGCTCAGAAGAGGGGGTTGGGGTGGTTCTCTACGAGAACCCTAGCAAGAGGAAATTCTGGGGAGAAGCAGACTCTTCAGAGTGGGCGCCCGGGAGCGAGCTTCTGAGCCCCGAACCTGGGAATCCGGCCTCATTTCTCTTGGGGGCTCCCTACGGAAGGTTCTAGTGGATTCTGGGGACAGGGCGTCTAGTGCGGAGGAAGGGGGTAAAACACCCCCTTTGGGGAGGGTAAGTGTCCATGTTGCCGGGTGAGGGGGCGGAAGGAGATAATAATTCGAGACTAGAACGCAAATAAGTGCAGCGGGGACTGGCCGGAGCCGGGGACGAGGCGGCCCGCGGCCGTGCCCCTCCGGCTCCGAGGACACGCCCCGCCCTGCTCATCACTTCCGGGAAACGCCCCTCCCCCGAAAGCGAAGTCCCGCCCCTCGACTACCGCGAGGGCCGTAAAGCACGCTCCGCTCGCGACGCCGGGCCCAAAGCGCCTGCGCAGTCCCTGGAAAACGGCTGTGTTGGCCCCGCGCTTTCCTTTTCCGGTGGCGGCGCCGCGCGGTGAGGAGCTCTTGTCTGGATCCGCAGCCATGCCGTCCAAGGGGCCCCTGCAGTCCGTGCAGGTTTTCGGACGCAAGGTGAGCTGGGCGCCCGCCGGGAGGCCGGGGTCTGGGGGAGGCCGATGGGCAGGAATCTGGGGGCGATCTGGGAACCGGCGCTCACGTGGCCCCGCTGTCTCCCTCTCGGTTTCCACAGAAGACGGCCACAGCCGTGGCGCACTGCAAACGGGGCAACGGCCTCATCAAGGTGAACGGGCGGCCCTTGGAGATGATCGAGCCGCGCACGCTGCAGTACAAGGTGCTGGGCCTGGGGATGGGAGAGTTCTGGAATAAGCATGGAGTGGGGGCGTTCCCGGAGCTCGTGAATTCTAGAAACTGAGTCTCGGGTGGTGAAGAAAAGGGCGTTTGGGGGGGTGGTCTTAGAAGATGCTGGAAAATGTCGAGACGAAAGATGGAAACGTGGGTGTTTGGAGAACTAGGATATTGGAAACGGCCAGCTGGGGACTGGATGGCGAGGGCGGTTTTAGGTGTTGACGCAGCCTGAGTTTTTGCCAAAGCTAAGGGTTGGGGGACCATGCCACGGCTTCCTGTCCACTTCCGCAGGAACGCTCCCCGAGGACCGGTGTCAGTGTTGACTACTCGGGACATCGTGCTAAAGCTCTTGGGGCTCAGTGAAGGTTGTAGAATCTGGTACCTTTAGCCGGGAGGGGGGACTCCCCTTAGCTAGGGCTTCAGTTTCTTTGGCTCAGAACGGAAAGACCAGAGTTTGGATTCTGGTTCTAGGTGTGTCACTGGAAGCAAGTAGCTTCATTTCTCTGCTTTGGGCTGGTCATCTGTAAAAAGGGATTTCTACTTTAAAAGCTGTAGCGAAGCTAAGGTAATATTTTCCGTCTAAGCTCCTGGGCTAGCGAGAGACTGCACCTCCTTTATGATACGTGGTATCAGTGTCTGAGCGCCCTTTGTATTTGCAGCCTGTGTTTAGCACTGGGGCATCTAACGCTGCCCTCGGGGCATCCAGTGTAGTGGGGGGGATGCACTGGACCCAATACCAAGTATTCCAGAGGCAGGCCGGTTAGCTGAGACCTAGAAAAGCCTTCTGATACAAACCGGGTGGGTGGGCAGGCTTCTGGGAGAAAGAGCTGTGAGCTGAGGATTCCTTTCTGTAAGAGACAGCGAAACATGTCCAGGTAGAGGGAGCCCCTGCAAAAACCCCTCCTGTTGGCCAAGGAACAGGTTGGCACAGGCTGTAGTTACCTTTTCTGAAACTGATGGGAAGGCCCAGGGAGGAGGTAGGTGCCTAAGTGCACCCGAGGTAGCCCCAGGATTTCTTACCGAGGCACAAGGATTTCTGTCGCTGTCAGGCGTAGCAGCCAGCGCTCTGTCTTCAGAGACGGGGATCTGAGGCCCACGGATGTGCACCACAGGACAAGGCCTCTGCAGCCTCTCAGCCCTCCCTGGTGGGGTGGGGACCTGCAGTGGGGGCTGCTGCCCCTTGGGAGCTCACGAAGGGTGCTCAGATTTAATGACAGTGTGACCTAAAGTCCTGCTGTGCCCTCGTTCTCTAGCTGCTGGAACCTGTTCTGCTCCTGGGCAAGGAGCGATTTGCTGGCGTGGACATCCGTGTCCGTGTGAAGGGTGGTGGTCACGTGGCCCAGATTTACGGTGAGTCGCTGGGCACAAGGGTGGGAGGCGGCTGAGCGCGAGGTCCTGACTGGCCTTCACCGTGTTAACAAGACACTTTTTGTTTCTAGCCATTCGCCAGTCCATCTCCAAAGCCCTGGTGGCCTATTACCAGAAATGTGAGTCGGTGGCTCCCCCCTCCCCCCGGGACAGGGCAGTGGGCAAGTAGAGGGCCCATGGCACTGAGCCCCCAGGCGGAAGGGTACTGCTGCCGGGTTATCTGAATCTCCTCTCTCGTCCCCAGATGTAGACGAGGCCTCTAAGAAGGAGATCAAAGACATCCTCATCCAGTATGACCGGACTCTACTGGTGGCTGATCCCCGTCGCTGTGAATCCAAGAAGTTCGGAGGCCCTGGAGCCCGTGCTCGCTACCAGAAATCCTACCGATAAGCCTGTCGTGGGGCTTGGGTCCCTCTTTATAATAAACAGTGGTTGTTGGATTTTAAGGTTTCAAGGGCTGCTGTGGTCTGTGGGAGCGGAGTATCTGACTGAAAGGAACGTGCTGCCGTTGCAGGGCTTGGCCTGTCCGAAAGCTGCCACCACGGGCTTCGTGTGGGCAGGCAGAGCAGGCGGGCTTGCCCCCAGTGGTAGTCTCCTGTGCAGCCACAGCGGGGCTGGGGTGCTACGCGGCTTGACCTTCGCCTGTCCATCCCTTTGCTGTTCTGACGACATGAGGAATAGGGGCTCGTGTGACGTCAGTCACCATGAACACTTGGGTGGGCTCTGAGCATGACTAAGGGCCAAACCTGATCAGGAAGTGGTCTGTAGTGCGGGTGATGAGGGCGGGGGTGGGAACCCCGCAGGGTGGGAGCTCCCAATGGTCTCATCCCTAAAGATGGCAACCGCTGGGAAAGGCCTCCTGACAGTGGACACCTTGGGGACTTGAGTCAAACCTGCTTACCTGTCGCGCCCGTAAGTGAGGAGAGTGCAGTGGACTCAGCCACAATGGACAGTGGAGGTGGCGTGTCTCCCCCAACCAGATCGCTGGTGGGGACTCCTAGCAGGCCTGTGGGTTATGTTGGCTTTTGTTTTCCCCATTCTGCATGGGAAGCTGTACGCTTTCATGAGTGGGAGGCAGCTGCCACCATACTGGGCTTTGTGGCCAGCCTGGGCACCTTGACTGTCTACCCTCGTGGGGTAACCACCTTTGACCATCAATTGAGAGAAGCGTCTCAGTTTGCTTTATGGAAGGGACTGGAATTGGGCCTCCCTGGTGGCACAGGAGTTAAGTCAGTGGCTGTTATCACCACCTGCTGGGAGCACAAGATTGGCCAGGGAGTGGCTCACATGTACAGCAGACCTTTCCTGTCTCCCCACTGCTGCCCCCAGCAGTGGATTTAAGTAGATCTGCCTGCTCTGCTCTTGTCTCATGAATCCTCTCACCATCACCCCCACTTCTGGCCTACACTCCCAGTTGTATGCATAAATTTTTTAAAGGAACTTGGAGTTGACGCTCCCCTATAAAGCTCTGCACTAGCCAGACTGCTAGTGCAGTCCACTCCACTCCAGGCACAGTGGCTCCTGAGCTGGGCCGCCAGGCGAGGACGCTGGCACGGTTGAGGACGTTTCTGCAACAGCCCTGTGTGCAGGGCAGCAAGTGCTGCTTCGGGTGGGAGCGGGGTTGCTGGAGCACTGGGTAGGGGCAGGCCAGACCCCGTGAGGCGGGCAGCAGGGGGTGTCACAGGTGACAGGCAGAATAAACCAGCTCACTTGTTTTACGCTGAAGCGGTGTGAACTGGGCTTAGAGGGCATTAATCTCTGCCTCCCAGAGGGTGGCAGTGCCCCAGAGCATACGGCAGCCTCTTCACCCTGTTGGAGCCTGTCCTCCTCGCTGTTCTAAGGACCAGGCTGACAACTGACACTGGCATCAGCGCGAAGGTTCCAGGAAGGCTGCGCTGGGGGCTGTGGTAGGAAGTGGGCTGGGAATTCAGGGGCAAGAACCTGGAGGAGGCCGAGGCTGGCCTCGTGCCCGCAGCTTTTCCACAGGCCCAAAGACCCCCTTGTTGTGCTGCTGGCGGCCCTCCCAGACGCACAGCTGGGATGCATCTGGGGAGGCGGAGGGGCTGGCCTCCCCCGCCCCAGGCCTTGCAGCAGACAGCCCCCTCCTCCCTCCCTGCCGCCTCCTCGAATACCGGGAATTCCGGCGCGCTGCTGGAAGCCCAGGCCAGGCTGGGAACTTTCCTTCAGCTGGGAATGTGCAGCTGGGGGTGGAGGAGGGGAGGCTGCAACGGTGCAGGCCGGGAGGCCCGCTCAGCCCGGGACTGGTGCAGGGCACAGCAGAACCACTCAGCACCCAGAGCTAGGCTGCCTTACTCTGCTCACGAGCGGCTCCCTAGAGCCCTGAGAGCACCAGGCTGCCAGCCTCACCTGCAGGGGTGTTCTCTGCTGTACCCCCAGTATGGACCCGGCACAAGACAGGCAACTGACCAAGAGAACTCTGGTTTCTGTGAGAAACTAGTTTCCTTGAGAAACAAGTCCAGGCCCAGCACTGGCCCTTCTAGCAGAACCTAGGCAAGTCCCTCAGCCTGACTCTGCCTCAGTTTCCTCAGTAATGAAAACCACGTTCACTTGCCTTTTAGGGATGCTGTGAGGACTCGGAATTGAGTTCACACAGTGACTAACGCCTGTGGTATGCACTTGGTGCCCAATAAATCTCGGCCTCTTGCTGTTGTTGGCCAGCTGTTCAAACTCCAGATTCCTAGGCTCCTGCCCTGGAGACTTTCAATAGACTGATTCAGAAACTGGGCCCTGTGATTTTAGCAACGCCCCCGTGAGTCAGAGGTTCAAACACTTGTGACAGTGAGAGGTTCCTACTCACTGAATCTTCCCGGTCCCAGGAGGCAGGTACAGTTCTCACTTTACAGATGACAAGACCCAGGCTCAAGGAGGTAACACACCAGGTAACTAGAAAATTCAGGCGTTGAGTTCAGCCATGACACTGGTGCCTCAGACAATTCTAGGGAAGATTAAATAAAACAATGCACTAAAAGCACGGGGTTTTTGATGAAAGCAGCTTATTACGGGGATACTAGCTGAGTTCTATTTCTCAGGGGGTGAAGCCACGGCCAGGAGGGGGCAGAAGGATCCTAACATAAAGGCCTTCTGTCTCCACAACCTGAATTCTTTTTTGGGGGGGTGGGAGGAGGAGTGCAGATACACACTGAACAGGCCCCAAACTGGTGAGGCAACAGAGGGATCTGTGTGGGTGGACACAAGACTTGGAAAATTCGCGGGGGTGGGGAGTGGCTAGCAGGACTTTGCCCTAGTCCCAGACCTGATCTGCCCTGGATCTGGAACTGTTCCGTAGTGTCAAGATCCAGAAAAAACTGAGGACGGGACGGGGGTGGGGGTGGGCTGAACATCCACCAGAACTCTGGGTGGGTGAATGGGGAGACGGTCTGGCAAAGATGGTGGTGACTCATGAACAGGCAGAGATGGAAACAGGTGGATGGAGGGCTGGAGGGAGAAGATGGACAGGTAGGGTAACGGTGTGTGGAGGAGGGGACTCTGGCAGAGCAGAAAGGGGGTGGGCGAGGACGGGCTTGAGGTGGTTAAACACAGGCATGGGGGATGAGTGATGGGGACACAGCTGGACGGACAGGTGGCTGGGCAGCTGGGCTAACTGGACCCGGAGGGACAGGTACACTGGACATACAGCTAAAGGAATGAATGCCTAAGGTTCTACTTGTTGAAACAAAACTTGTTACCTTTTCTGGTTAGGCATCAGGCATTATAAATCCTCTGAAATCACATACCAAATTATACTGGGCCTGTCCAGCACACTTCTTAAAACTGAGAGTCCCCCCAAATTTTCAGCACCACTGATTTGAGCTGCCAGACCTTCCCATTCGTCTTCCATCCCCCACCCACGGTGGGAAATGACACACAACTTCTCGTTATTAATATTAATGATACCCCGGGCCCATCCCGTGGCATTTAAGGAATAAGGGTCCTTTACCAAAGCAGATCCTGGGAGTTGCAAAGTTGCAGCAATTTTTAGAACTGCGTTCGGTGTCTGGACCTCTGGGTGAAGTCCTGAGGGTCTGTGGCACCTGGTTACAGTCCTTGCTTTTCAAGCCTGACATGCTGGTTCACATGTGGAACGGGGGAGCATCAGGTGCCCCCTGGGCCCGGCGAAGGCCCGCAGATTCCTGGGTGGGGGCCAAGAGAGCAGGGTGGTTCAGCCGGACCTGGGCCTTGGCTGGCCGTAGGCGCCCCCCGCCCCCTACCTGGATGTTGACTGTGGTGGCATAGCTGAGCCGCCTGGCCGGGGGTGGAGGGGGCTGGGGTTGGGGTGGCGGTGAAGGTGCCCGTGACGTGGGGGCAGAAGAGGACCAGGGGCCGCGGGAGGCTGGGGGTGCATCTCCGCCAGCCCCTTGCCGCCTTGCCAGGCTCTGGCTGATATATGAGGCTGCCAGGTACCTTGACAGGGCAGCAGCATTGGGGCCCAGGAGCTGCCGAGTGGGGAGCGGGGGACTGTGAGGTGGCGTCAAGTCTGAACACTCTGACCTGGGAGCCTGAGAGACGGAGTGGCCTGCTGGCTTGAACACAACCATGGTGGTGTGACTCTGGAGGGAAGACAGGCCCTGGGGATCCTGAGAGCCTCCCTGCTCAGGCGCAGGGGTGGCAGCTACGGCGTGGAGGTCTGCGAGGCTCTGCTCTGGCAGCAAAGGGGCAGCGGCCACAGCCTGGGCGTCCGGGAGGCCTCTCTCCTCCGGCAGCGGTGGGAGCGCCGCAGCCCGGGCGTCGGTGAGGTCTCGCGGCTGGGGCAAAGGCCCTGCAGCTGGAACCTGCCCGCATGACAGGTCTGGGGGTACGGACGGAGGCGTGCTGGCTGGGACCTGGTGGTCCAGGTGGCCTCCGCGTGCAGGCAGAGGTGAGGTGCCCAGAGCCTGAGTGTTGAGATCTGGCTGCAGGAGTGGTGAGCTGCTGGTGGGGCCCAGATGGTCCAGGCTGCTTCCAGGCACAAGAGGAGGCTTCATGGGGGATTTGCAGGCTGTGGCAGGGGACGGAACATCACCAGAACCTTCCAGCTCCTCGTGTGGGGTGCTGGCTGGGCTCTGGCTGTCTAGGTGGCCGTGCTGCTGGGGCACAGGAGTGGTGGCTAAAACCAGGGTGGCAGGGTCACTCTCCGGCATGGGCAACGCTGGTGTGGCTGGAACCTGGGTGTCCACGGGGGAGCCTTGCTCAGGAGATATGGTGGCCAGTGGGACGTGTCCGCACTCAGGCAGGGGACCAGGAGCTGGGGCGTGGACGGGCAGGTGGCCTTCTTGACCAGGCACAGCAGGGAGAGCTGGAACCTGGGTGTCTGGGGGGCCGTCCTGCTTGGGTGCAGGTGTGCTGGCTGGAACCTGGGCGTTCCAGAGGCTGCCTTGCTCAGGCAAAGGGGGAGCGGCTGGAATTGGGGGGCCTAGGTGGTCCGGCTCCGGTAAACTGGAGACGCATCGCCCCTGGCCACGCAGGCAGTCTGCCGGCTTCGACAGAGGCGTAGCAGCTTGAACGCGGGCAGCAGGGCCCAGGGAGACCGATTCCTGCGTACAGGTCAGCGGGAAGGCCGGCTCGCACACCAGCACGTGTCCGAAGGCAGGCGGGGGCGCTGTGTACAAAGAAAGGGGCGTCAGGCCCCGGGCCCGCCGCGGGCGCCCCTGCCGACCACGCGCCTGCACTTCACCTGGCTCGGCCTGCTCCCAGGGCTGGCAGGGGGGCAGCTGGGGCTGGGCCAGAGCCCGTGGCCGGCGGCGGGGGGCGTTGGCGGACGCCCGGGTCTCAGCCCGCTGCATCTGCTGGATCCGCTCGCTGTAAAGTCGGGCCAACTCCCGCACTCGAGACGCCGCCCTCTCCGAGCGCTGCGCGCCGGCCGGCCCACCCTTGCTGCCTTCACCCAGATCAGAATCTTCGAGGATGAGCAGCGGCTCTGGGAAACCTGGCCGGACCAGCTGCCCCTGCTCTAGGGCCTGCCAGGCGCTCCGAATTTCTGAGCAAGAACGGAATTCCAGCTCCTCCGGGAACCCCTGATCTCGGGTGACAGCCTGGGGCTGGAAATCTGGAAATGATACCCCTTCCTCCTCCTCCTGCTCCGCCATGCTTCCTGAAGGGGCTGCTCCCAGTTTTCCAGAACTGCTTCCAGGGAACAGTTCTCTCCTGGTGGCCAGAGCCTCGGCAGGCCCCTGCGGAGGGCCCTGCAGCCAGGCGCCCCGGGGAAGCGCGGGAGCAGCGCAAAGGCCCGGGGCGTCAGGCACGCTGGCGACGGCTGGGAGGCGGGGTGTCTCAAAGCCACTGGGAATGTCAGGGGGGCTGGGCAGGCGCGGAGTTCTGGGCATTTCAGGAAGGCTGGGCACATCAGGAATTGTGGGGAGGCCGGGCATGTCGGGCATTTCGGCCACACTGGAACCTTCAAGCCCCTCAAGGACGTGGAGCGGAGAAGGCCCCCGTTCATCCACCTCCCTCTCTTCTTCCTCCTCTTCTGAAGAGTCCCGGATGGGCAGGGCTTGGAATGCGAGCGTTTCGCAGCGGCCTGGCAGCTGGGCGTCTCCGGAGAACTTGGGAATGTCGCAAGGGGGTGGCTGCAGTGAGCACTGGGGAGAGGCCAAGCGTCTCGGTGGGGAGGCCCACCTGACCCCGCGCTGTGCACGCCAGCCCAGAGCCCCAAGGACACAAGGAGACCTCGGCTCACCCCTGGGTCCCGGAGGCCTCTCTGGCTCAGCAGTTCCAGGATTTCTTCAGTGATAGAGGTCGTCCCAGGAGGCTCCAGCATGGGGGGCCCAGGGTCCTCCAGGTCCTCAGGAGGCCCGGGGGCTGGAACTGGTGACTGAGGTTCTAAGGGGGGGTAGAGCTCCCCCTCACTGCCAGCATGCTATGAGCAAGGAAAGTGGACGTGAAGGCCCGGCCAGCCCCCACTGCCCCCTCCTCCCAGGCTGGGCCCCCAGCTCCCTCCGAAGGAGAAATCCACTTCCTGGCCCCCTCTGCTTCAGATGCAGGAGGCTGGACTCAAGCTCTCTCCTCCCTCAGACACAGAGGCCCAGATCTGCTCAAGCCGCCCCAAGGTTCTCTTACCTTAAGTCTAGGCTTAGCTGGGGATGAGAGGAGAGAGAGAAAGAGGAGTGAGATGTAGAAGCCAATGTCCCCCCTCACCCCTTGAACAAGTTGCCGCCATCCGTCCCCCGTGCACGTCCAGTGGGGGAAAGATGGACAAACAAGGCTGGGCTGGGGTGGTCACTTACAGTTTTGGGAAAACGTGACAAAGGGGTCTTTCACAGGCTCTGTGGAGGACACAGATGTCAGGGCCTGGCCCACCAGAACCCGGCTCACTCCCAGATGCGGCACTCACCAGACTGTCTGCGGCTGCGGCGAGAGGGGGGTCCCGGAGACGGCGCTGTGGGAGGCAAAGCAGAACCCCTCTGTGAGACCAACACCGGGCTGGGGGCCGTGGAGGGGTGTCCAGCTCCAGAGTCCCAGAGGAAGCAGGGGTCCCACCTCCTTTACCTGTGTTCCTTCGTCCAGGAGTGAAACTCCTAGCATCTCGAGGGCGGGGAGATCCAAGTGGGGGTGTCAGGGGCTCTGGGACGTTCTTACTTTTAGGAGCACCTGCAGGGAAGGGTTTGGTGCTGAGGAGCTATTTTGCATGGAAGTAATTCCTCTACACAGACCTCCAAGCCCAGGCCCCAACTCACAGTGCAGGCTGTTTTCAAGGAGAACTTGTTTTGCCTGAAAGAGATGAGTGTGAGAGTTGAGGGGGCTGGTCGGCACCCCAGTCACTGTCTCACAAATGGGTGCTGCTATGGGCAGTTGCTTTACATGGCCGATGATGATAAATCCTCACCACAACCCTATGAAATTGGTGCTATTAATCCTCCAGAAGAGAAAACTGAGACCAGAGAGGTTAAGTCACCTGCCAAAATTCACAAAGCAGGGCCACGGCAACACTGGGATTCAAAGCCAGGGAGTCCAAGTCTCCGTTTAGAGTCTACCGTATCCCAGTCTGACGTGGTACTTAGGGTCTCTCTAGCACTATGAGGGGGTGCGGGGTTGCCTCCAGCATTCCCAGGGCCCCCAGCTATGGCAGGAGCTGTACCTTGGCAGGGAAGTAGGCAGGGTGGTTCTCAGAGAAGAGGCGCTGGAGACAGTGAATCCACAGCCTCTTCTCTTCTTGGTTCTTGGCCTGGGGGTGGGTGAGGTTGGAGCTGGACCCAGGTTTGAGGTCTGGGGGAGGCCCTGACCAGCAGCCCCACCCTGTGCTCACCTGCAGCAGGTGCCTGTGCTTCGGAATGGTCAGATCAGACACCTTGAACCCTAGGGGGTCCCGAGGATTCTCACTCACACTCAGGTTACAGCACTGGAGGAATGGGGTTGGGGGTGGATAGAGAAGAAAGCAGAGCTCTCAGGCTTAGCTATGTCCCAGGTCCATCTGGGTGCCCTCCTCGCCAGGCCCTCCCTGATACAGTGGGTTAGAAACTATCACAGCCACTGCGGCACAAGTTCAATCCCCGGCCAGGGAGCTGACCCACAGGGCACGGCAGACCCCTCCTGTCTCCCCACTGCTCCCCTCAGCAGTTTATTTCAGCCGATCTGCCTGTTCTGCTCCCCACTCTGTGTCTGATGAATCCTCTCATCCCTTGCACCTCTGGCCTGTACCCCAGTTCTTGTCTGCATAAGTAAATACATAAATGTTTAAAAAG